CATTGGAAAGCAAGCAATATTGCTCGGGTGCATTTCTGGACATAGCTCAAGCTTTCGACCGGGTATGGCACGCCGGGCTTCTTTCCAAGCTGAAAAACTATCTTCCTCAGTCCTTGTACCTTGTTCTCCGTTCCTACCTCTCAGATCGTACCTTCCGAGTTCGTTGCGGTACTGAATTTTCGCATTGCTATCCAATTGAGGCAGGTGTTCCTCAAGGTAGCGTATTGGGTCCCGTCCTTTACATCCTCTTTACCGCCGATATCCCTGTCCATCCCGATACCTTCCTGGCAACTTTTGCTGATGACACCGCCATTCTATCATCCGACTCAGATCCCAACATAGCATCCTCAAATCTCCAAAACCACCTCACCTTGATTGAGCACTGGTGTAATAACTGGCGCATTAAAGTTAATGAATCTAAATGCCAACATATTACCTTTACACTCCGACGCAGTTCCTGTCCACCAGTACACTTTAATTCCATCCAGCTTCCTTACTCAGACACAGTCCGGTATCTTGGCTTTCATTTAGACCGAAGACTAACGTGGAACCCACATACTAGACTCAAAAGACAAGAACTCAACCGACGATACGGCCAGCTATACAGACTACTAAACAGAAAATCCAAACTTTCTATTGAAAACAAATTACTTATCTACAAGACAATACTGAAACCTATATGGACATACGGACTTGAACTGTGGGGGACAGCAAAAGCTTCTAACATCAAACGTATTCAATCCTTTCAATCTAAAGTCCTTCGAACAATAGTTGATGCTCCGTTCTATGTAAATAACAAAATCCTACACCATGACCTTAATATCCCATTTGTCCTAGACCTTATTCCAGAAAAATTCTCCAAATTTCACCAGAAGCTTACCTATCATCCAAATTCCCTTGCACAATCTCTATCCAGCACCACCCATCCTTACAATCCTCCTCGAAGGTTGAAGCGGCAGTGGCCCAGAGACCTTTTGTAAATAAGCATCTATTGGAGTTTTGGCAATGGCCAGATCCTCCACTCAAGCCCGAGTATGTATGATTAGGTTAGTTCTTTTGTTTATATACATTTATTTTATTTTATTGTATTTATTTTTATTTTATTTTATTGTATTTATTATTATTAAGTTTCTGTATTATTTTTTTTATTTTTTATTGTAAATAGAGTGTGAGTGTGCTTTCTCTGAACACTATTATAAATGTCCTTGATGTGACAGAATGTAATATTTCTAAATAAACAAATATAAAAAAAAAAAAAAATTATAATACTAGTAGGCCCATGCGAAAAATTCTCACAGCATATTTTTAAGTGATCAAATGCCAAATTAATAAGAAAATAAAATAATGCAACGTATCAAAAGATAAAGAAATCGATTGTTACTTTATCGATAAATATAATCGACAAAGGAAACAAAAATGGTATTGGTCCATTAGCCGGGCGGGACGGACTGCTATCTGCCAATGTTTATAACCTGATAATTCTGATAAGCCTTCTTGTAATTTCTATCTTTGTATTCATATTTATTGTATTATGTTCGTATTATTGATTACATTGACAATTACAAGTTTTTAATACCTTCTAATAAGGTTGTTGCCTTTCTGTCATTTATTTTGAAGATAAAACACTCATCTGTTTCTCGGCAAACTCTGCCAAACATCCATTACTCAGGCAAAACTCTCACCACATGATTTTTTCTTTTAGAAAAAAAGACTTTCGTCTACTTCAACCACTTTGCCAGGCCCTCAAATTTTTTTTCTTGACCTGTATAACATGTCATGGGCACAAACTTCTCTTAAACATTTATTCCACGTTACCATAGCTCCCTTGGATAATTTCAGCTGCTCTTTGCCTCACTTTATCATTGTTAAATTATGGGACCACCCATAAATAAATTTTAAAGCCGTTAAAAACGAAATCCTCGAGCCCTCTAACCACGTTCCTTTCCTTATTGAAACTTTTATGTTACAAGTGCTACAACAGCATCTCCATTTCGCGTCCCTGTCTAACTTCATTTGATGAACTTATTCACACAATTTCACGTTTGCAAGTATCCCAACGTTCTAAAAATATTCAATAGCCTGTTCTTCTGAAGACGGTAATTCCCAGAATGTAACAATATTCATAATTTGACGAAAATAACACAAAGGGGCCAAAAATAAAGAATTCAATAACTGAATGTAATAAGTGAAAAATAAACAATGTAATAACTGAAAGGTTTGGCGAGATGAGAAGAGGGAGGTTATGTGACGTGACGTTAAATAACAGATAACAAGTGAGGTTTCATTACACCCGGCTAAGGTACTAGTACCACAAAAATTAATTTAAAACTTCATTAATGTTTGGAACCAACATGTTTACAAATTTCAATAAGCTGTTAAATCTTCAATCTTGCTCCAATCTTTGCTAAAAATAGTCCAATTTCAATGATTTTTTTTTTCCTTTTGCAGGGAATTTAGCAATCTTTTATAGAATCATGGGCATAACCAAGGGAAAAGTGTGTAATTGCTTTAGTTATTCGCAAATATAGTTTTTTTTCTTTCATAACTTGTTTATCTGAATTTTCGGGGTGTGGACTATTTTGCCCACCTGAAGGAGAAGGACACCTTCAAAACTTGTGGCTCAATCTTGAGATTTGGTGAATAATTAAAGATGATATTGCTTGCCGATCAAAAACACTATCGATAAATAATATAAACTCTTCCTCTCTCGATCATAGGGGCCTCAAGTCAAAGAAATGAGACATGTATTTAATGACAGTACTACAATTAACGTAAGGTTGTGTGGATGCGAACCCTATACCTTGCGTTATCTCTAAATAGTACGTTTATGGGCTTAAAAACACAGGGTTCTTGCTTTATGCATTGAAATCTTCAAAGCGCAATTTGTCCCGTATCGATCTACAGACTTACCACCGTTCCAGTATTGAACAAGCCTAGAAAAATGTTTGTATCGACTTTATTTATTTTAGAAAGAAAAACAAAAGTGGAGATCACAATTTTCTAACCCCCCGTAAAATTCTGAATCCAACGGTACCCCATTCATGGTATTTGAGCATGACAGGAGCTTATATATTTCGAGCCTTACTGTAATAATATATGTGGGGATGTTTTTACCACCTGTCAAATTTATTAAACTTATGTGTTTTTTATCACTATCCATTTCCTTCTATGAGGTTACATCTTAATTATTTTTTAATTATAATGATGCTACAAAATCTTTTTAGGCCGACAAGAGTGACAATAATAAATTAGCCCCTATATATTTATACTTCATTGTGAGTATTTTTATATGATCTAGCATAGATATATAAACAAATTTTAATTTTCATATTGCCATAATATATGTATATAATTACGAATTAATTATTACCAGAGCTATCTTTTATGAAAACACACAAGTAGTATTATCAGTAGTATAGTATTATCAGAGCCCGCATGTTCCTCATACATGACATAATATATTTTGTACATGTTACATTTGGGAAATATTCTGATCTCCATGTTTGAGTGGGCTTGGGGGCATGGTTTTTGGTCCAAACTTACCAGCCCATATTTCTCCTTCACTTAATTATCATATTTTTCATGACTTATATTTAACCGTTTGTTTTTAACCAGTTACAAAGGTAATGAGGTAAATATTAATTTTAACTGCCTGCATGATATAAAATATCATTTAATTTTATATTGATAATGAATCAATCAAAATCGTTAAGGGCCTTTTTCAAAAATTGTAAAAATGTGTAAAATAGGTGATATGAAGTGTTACTTCTTTATGGTTAGCGTATTTTAGCAAAACATTGCTATGATACCTCAGGCATAAACTTACCTTTAAAAACATAATTTCAGTTTTGTACAACTTTTTATTTTTGAGCTAAACTGTTCAGACACAAACACAGACCATTTTGCAAAACTTAGTTATTTGGACTTGAAACATGTTTTTTCCATTAAAAATTCATATTTGGAATGTTTCAAGATTGCATTATATTTCATTACTATATATTTCTTAAGATGAGTCAACTGGAGAATTTAGGCGGTTACACAACACTGAATTGTGCGAACTGTATTACATCCGGTCAATATAATTGAGATGATTAAGTTGAGGTGCATAAAATGGGCATGCAAAGTCGCTGGGATTAGAAAACGGAAGAATTCCTAAAAAAGTAATATACGCTGTGCCAATTGGTAAGTGTCCGAGGTGTAGACTGAAGCGAAGGTGGGAAGATTGTGTTAAGGCTGACCTTGCGGGGATGGATTTAGATGGCGCCTGTTGGATCAAAGAATGTAGACATCCTTTGGGTTCACTAAGCCTTATTATTATAATATATTCCATAAGTAGGTAAGTGAAGTAAAAGAAATGGGCATTGTTACATCATCGTAAAATTAAAAAAAAAAAAAGAAATGACAAATTTGAAAAATAGTTATTGAAAAATAAGCAAGTTTATATTTTAGTAAAAATTATTTATTTAAAGATTTTATTCATGAAATTCAATTAGTTTTGCTAGTGTGTGTTTAGAGTATTGTTTGCAATATAAAATCAGTTCTAAGTGGTATGAATAACTTTTTTTTTTTTTTTAATAAAATAAGAAACCTTAGCTCCAGTAGTGTGACATCATTATTACCCGGGACAGGTCCATACCTTTAGTAGGCCATGGCTCAACATAAAAAAGTTAATGACACACCTCCAACTTAATAAACAAATTCAAATTTAAAAATTAACTGCAATATACATTCATTATTTTTTATTATAATTTTTTTTTAGCAGTGGGGTCTTAATAGCTGAATACCTAGAAAACTGTTCTACCATGGAAAAGGTACTAATACTTTTTTAAATTTTGTCTTGACCAAGTTATATTCTGTATAAGGTTTAGTGCAGATAATGTGTTCTATAAAAGTACATACTGAAAAATAACAGAGGAATTAGTTAAGTTACATCAAGGATGTGCCTACAGAACTATGAACTTTAGAACCAAAGGATCTTTACCATTCAAATAAAAAATTACCAGTTAATGTTGCAAGACCTTCAATGGCTCTACCAGACACAAGAGCTTCATAACATCCATGAATTTTCGCAACAGCTTTCTCAATCAAAGGAACCCATAACTGTTTACGCTTAGCCTGTGAAGGATGAAAAACATATATACAAAGAATTTATTATTGTATAATTTCATAATAAAATATCTAATTTTTGCATACAAATATGTTGTCCTCTTTAATTTATCGAAATAATTTGGTCATTCCAGAACCATATTTTTGTAATAAACCTTAATAACTTACATTAAAATTGATTGTGTATACATAGGTACTATAACTTTAGATATTGATGAAAGATCTTTCATGAATTAATAAGGTAATAGTCAATTTTATAATTTAAATGAGTAAAATAGACAAAAATTGATCTGTCTTGACAATGGTCATAGAAATTAATGTTGGCTTGATTTATTCTACATTCCTATAACATAGAGGAAACTTAAGCTATTTCTTGATTTTTCATCTTTGATTTCCAATTCCTAATTAACTACAATTAAGGGTGAATACAATGCTATGATAAACCCTGTGATATATCGATTATACTATAATCAGTGATTCAGTTGTATTACCCTAACAGTGTTATCTTTTATGATGAATAAAATAGTTGTGTTCACTAATATTGTAGTTTTGTGCTGTAGTATTCCAAATACTTAACATTTGGCGACGAGGATAAAAGTAATGAAGAAAGGTACTTCGTGGGTGTATGAATTAAAGAAACAAGACTTGATTTTAAAACTAAAAGAATTAGATTTGGTTTTTAATGAGGCTGATTCTGTTGATAGGTTAAGACAAATTTTAGTGCAGAAATTGAGAAGTGAAAATAAAGAAGAAAGCAAGGAAATTAATGAAAAGGTAACCCAAGTTAAAACAAAGAATAAAGGAGCAAGCTACATGATGGAGACCTGTAAAATTGAATTTTGTTTACATCAGGATGACTGGAACACTTTTATTGAAAGGTTAGAACTTTATTTCCTTGCACATGATATTGAAGAAAGTGAGTATGTACCAGAACTACTTATAAAGGTGAGTGCAGAAACCTACATTCTTATTAGAAATTTAGCAATACCAAAAAACCCAAAGGACCTCTCATTTAAAGAAATTGTTTCTTTAATCTCTAAGCACTTAAATCCCAAATCTTTGGAACTATTAGAAAGACATAAGTTCAACAATATAGATCAATCAGAGTCAGAAACAATAAATTATTTTGTAGCCCGTTTGAAAAGAGCATCTATGCACTGTAATTTTCCCGATGTTGAGATGTCACTAAGAGATCAGTTTGTTTGGGGTATAAAGAATCATGAGACACGAGTTGAATTATTTAGAAAAGAGAAAGTTTCATTTTCAGAGGCTTTGAAAATCGCAGAGACCAGGGAACTGGCAATGGAAAGTGCTTCTAACACCGCAGGCACTAGCAACTCATCGGATAACCTGTGCTCGCAGGTAAACTATATCAGAGGAAATACAGACAGTGGCAAATCACCTAAAGGTAGAAGTTTAGAATTAACTCAAGGGCGGTCTAGTTATGGGAAGATTCAGTGTAAAGCAGACTTAATTAAAAAAGGTAATACACATCCATCATTATTTAATAGCAATAAAAACAATTTTAGTTGCTTTTGTTGCGGTGAGATTAACGGTCACTATACCAGAGAATGTATTCACAGATTTAAAGTGTGTAACTTTTGTAATGTCAGGGGGCATTTGGAAAATATGTGTAAAAAAAAACAGAACAAAAGAGTAAAGCAAAGAGTAAATTATTTAGAAGAGGGCATAAAAACAGAAGACGGTAGTAATGATGAACAAAATTTTTTTCACTTAGAACAAATTCTTTTAGGGGACATTGAATTATCGAATGCATATTCGATGAATATGGAATCCAAGGCGGAACCATTGGTCATTGATTTGTCAATAAACAGAGTTAAAATTATAATACAAGTAGACACCGGATCATATGTAACAGTGATATCAAAAGAGTCAAAAGATCGATATTTTTCACATACAGCAATGATCGAACCTGACCTAACCTTAACGACATAAGAAAAAACGATTTGAAGTCTATAGGGATGCTAACAAATTTGAAAGTGTCATTTAATGATAAGGAAGTAAATGATGTAAAATGCTATGTTTTACCAGGGAGAGGTCCCTCTTTGTTGGGAAGAAGCTGGCTTAACAAACTTGGCCTGTGGCCATTCAAACTAGAATTAAATTATTGTAATTCAGAGGATACAAGTGAGAAAGTAATGGCTAAGGTTAAGTCATTATTCCCGAAATTATTTAGTCCAGGGCAAGGAGTTTATACAGGAAAAAAGGTTAAATTAATTTTTTTAAAAGACACAGTGCCTGTACAATTAAAACCACATAGGATGCCTTTTGCACTTAAAGACAAGGTAAAAAAAAGAAATAAAAAGATTAATTTCCATAGGTAATCTAGAGCCTGTGACGGTTAGTAGTTGGGCGACACCTATAGTGCCTGTTCTAAAATCCAATGGGGAAGTTAGAGTGTGTGGTAACTTTAAGTTAACCGTCAATCCACATTTAATTATCAAGCATCAACCTGTGCCAAGTAAAGAAGAGATTTTTAGTAAATTACAAGTAGGTAATAAATGGTCCCAGATTGATTTAGCACATGCATTCATGCAATTCAGAGTTGATGAAAGTTCCAAAGAAGCACTAACAATTATTACAGATGAAGGTTTATTTCAATATACCAAACTACCGGAGGGTGTGGCGTCCAGCCCTGGAGAATGTCAGGAAATTTTAATGGAAATACTTAAGGGAATTCCTTACACTGAAATTTACATAGATAATATTTATTGTACAGGTAGAACAGATGAAGAGCACATTTCTATCATAACCGAAATCTTTAGGCGCTTAAATGATGCAGGCTTAAAAGTAAATGAAAGAAAGTGTGAATTTTTAAAAAGTAAGTTGGAGATTTTAGGATTTGTTCTGGATAAACAAGGAATTCACCCAGCAGAAAGTAAGGTTATTGCAGTCAAGGGTGCTCCAAGACCTAAAGATTGCAAACAGTTAAGGAGTTTTCTTGGATTAGTAAATTATTATGAATCAATTCTGAAGCACAGAGCTGATAAACTGAGTTGTCTTTATGAAGTCAGAAAAGTGGTATTGGTCCGAAGAATGTGAGGAAAGCTTCAAATGGATCAAGAGGCAAATCGTGTCAAACAAGGTATTGACATTGTTTGATCCAAATGAATAATTAGTCCTGTCATGCGATGCCAGTCAATATGGACTGTCAGCGATCCTTTCTCATAAATTCAAGAATGGAGAGGAAAAACCCATAGCATTTGCATCGAAAGTAATTCCGGTAACTGAGAGGCATAGGGCAATCATTGATAAAGAAGCTGCTGCCATCATCTTTGGCTTCAAGAAATTTTACCAGTATGTCTATGGAGCTCACATCATTCTCTAAAAATCTATCTGTCACAATTAAAAATAGATTACAAAGATGGGCTTATTATCTTTCAAGATTCACTTACTATGATAAACTCAGTTCTGATATACGGCTGCAAGACCTGGACATTAACCAGTAATCTAGAAAAAAATATTGTAGAGAAAAATCCTCCCTACAGTGAACGGAGCAATCTGGGATCAGAGTACCAATGCATGGAAGGGAAGGACCTTAGAGCATGGATTAATATTAATTATATTGTAAACTTGGGGGAGCAGGGTAGCTCAGTGGTAGGGCACTGAGCTTCCAATGCAAAGGTCCCGAGTTCGAACCCCGGCTCATGGCAGAAAATTTATTTATCTGTTTCATTGGCCGTGGGGCGACCTTGGGTCAGAAGTCCCTCCTGAGGCACACCCAGCCTCTATAAAGTGGGTACCCTTAATTAAAGAATTGATTAAGGGGAAAAACCTGGCGGTTGAGCGTGATCTCGGTCAAATCATCTCCTTGCACAAACGGTTAACCTAGAAACAGTGCTTTCCCTAAATAGTACTGAACCCCAGATCCTTCATGGGTTGTAGTGGTACAGGTTTTTTTTATTGTAAACTATTACAAGTATTTGGAAAAAGATTTGATCTTACAAGATGATACTGAAACTAATCTAATCATGAAAACAAGGATCTATTCTAATGTTAACATCTAATTATAAGAGACATAAATGAAAAGCCTGAATCTCATAAAACATCACAAACCATTAAAAGCAGAAACATGAAAAATTTTAAAGTTATTCTGTTATAGCAACATTATGTAAAGATAGAAATACTGATTACATAAATTCCTGGATGAAAAAAAATACACAACAACAACAAAACATGTGTTATTTTCAAGAATAAATACAAGTTCAATCGTTAGCTAAAATTTCGAAATATTTTTTCAATAAGCTGTAATTCTTATCTATACACAATATTCAATATTTATTTTTGTACTAGGGCAAGTGGCTGAATATTTAAATAAAATAAAGGAAGCAGAATAATTTATTAATACAATTCATTGAAGTGAAATAACATGAAAGCATATAATCAAATAAAAAATATTTGCATACCTGAGAATAAACTAAATGTCCTTTTTTATCACATGGTAGTAAATCATCAACTAAAACGGTAACCCATAACCCATCTTTGCATAGCCTGACTTGGTAAGCACCTTGTGGACTATATTCACGAGTTACCATAACGTTTCGAACAAGATCTTCTCTTTCTGCCAAAACTGCAAGAGCACTAAGCAGCCAACAATTTCCTAAAACACCTAAAATATACAAAAAATAAAAATTATTATACTTTCTCTAACTAAAAGGGATATTATATCATATAACTGAGTATTGTAAATGATAACTAATTATGCATAATCATACTTTCTAAGATGTAATAATAAATAATTGCAATGATATTCATAAACTAGAAATAGCTAATACTTGTGAAAATGGTGAATGTTTATTAGTAAATATTTGTGTGTGTGTGTTTTTGCGTGCATGCGTGTTTGTTTGTTTGTGAATGTGTGTATAAATATTGTTATTTTTAATACTTGTAAAATTAAAATTAAATCATTTTTACATTCTTAAAGTTTGTAAATAAAAATAAACAAAATTCACACATACCACACATTAACTAACACCAATAATAAAACAAAAAGGAAAATTTATAATAAAAACATAAAATAACTTTTCAAAGAAGGCTCAACATGCAAAATAAGGAAGGTGAATTGATTAAGTATTATTGGAATTAATGGAATATCTGTGATTAATAGGTTATTTAATTTACATAAATAATATTGGATTACTTTATGTATATCATTATTAAAAAGAAAACAAACAAATAAAAATGAATTTAAACATTCAAATTTAAAATTATTATTTACTGTTTTCAAGTAACAATCATAATAATCATTATAATGATGAGAATTCATTTGTTCATACATGCCGACGTTCATATTTGTGTTTTCAGTTGATAAATTGCTCTTTTATCTCACCGTAATAAGGCTGATTTTAGACTGAATACATTGGGTCCATAATTTGAGTACACAACGCTCACCTTGCTGAAAATACTTACTGTTAAGCATAAATGGCATTGAGTTACCCCACTCCCGCCTTCATATTATATAGATATAAATATATACTGACCTGTTTCCCTAAGGTGCTCTTTATTAGTCCTTCTTTTTCATGAATTAGAACTCAGATTCCAGCTCGCTCTGGTTTAGAATAGAACTTTCCTCTCAAATCTTTCAATTCTCCTTTCTAGATTACTGGTTAGAGTCTAAGTCTCAAAGGGGTATATCACAATAGACATTATCACAGTATTGTATGACTTAAATATGAGATTTCTACAATTTTTTTTGGAATTTCAGCACCCTTGAAAGAGAGAAGTAAGCTCTACTTGTGCTTGTTAAACACTGGTATATTTCTGAGTGTAGGTCAATTATTGAGGATATTGTGGAGCTGAGATATTTGAATCTGTTAACACTTAGGAACAATTTTCTTTTTACAAAGATCCTAAAAGTTGGGGTGGCATTTTTGGCTTACTATCGTGTATTTTGTTTTATTTTTATTTACTTGTAGGTTAATATTTTATTTAACTTCTAAGTCTTTTTCACACTCATTATATCAATACTTCATTTAATTATTTTAAATTCAGTAGTTAATTTAATATTAACAAACATTATATTTCTTGTTTTAGTTAGTATAATAAAATATATTATAATAATCCATTTCCAGCATATATAAGGGCGTAATCACCGTCCAGTTTTATTTCACCGATTCCTTTCTTCTTTACCTCGCTGATCCCAAGTATGTCTACCTTATATGTCTTCATCTCTTCCACAAGCTCAACTTCTTTTCATGTCAATGTCTTTATATTTCAATTTCCAAATCGTAAATTCCTATGAGAGCCAGGTCGTTTCCGTGAGATCTGTCCACATCCGAGGCTGGTTTTGTGACTTTGAATAGACTATACTACCATGTGGGTTATTAGCCCAGCAATGGAGTTCCTCCTTATATATGCTGGATTTCCTCAAGGAAACTTCGCGAAGGAAAGGGTAAGCATAGCTATGACTCCAACAATATATAAACAAAATGAAGACTGGGAGCTTATCTCACCAAGAATAATTGCCACAAATTTTGTGTTGGCCATTGTGAAAGTGACTTTAATGCAGGTATAAGCACCAGCGGAGGATGCAGGAATCATGGATAAGGAAGCATTTTACTCTGACTTGCAAGAGTTGCTCAACAACATCAAGTTCAAAGGACGATTCGCAATACTGAGTGGAGATTTCAATACCAGAACAGGTTGTAATTCTTCTCCCTCTTATGGTGTCCTCGGACTCTATGGAGGGGAAACTGTAAGAAATGGAAATGGACAATGCCTTATTGACTTCTGCATAGACAATGATATGCTGGTGGGAAATTTCTTCTTTCACCACAAAATAACTTTCTCGAGCCTGGAAAGAAACAGCATTATAGACTATTTTGTATATGACCTTGCCATAAGACACTATTTTACCGATATAAAAGTTATAAGAGGCGCTGAAATTGGCAGCGATCATCTGCTGCTAATAGCCAATACCAAAATTCCACAGAAACGGCCAATTAAACAAAAGAGCTATCAGGCAGTGAACATAAGAGCTCTGGACGATCCAGAAAAAAGAACCTCCTACACCAAAAAACTGAAAGGAAAATTAAGAACCATGAGCAGAGAGCATGATGTAGAACAACAGTGGTGCTGCTTAAAATCATGTATCTTGGAAAATGCAAGGTATATGCAGTTGCCCTATATGTCGATGACATCGTTCTGACTGCGGATACGAAAGACAAACTGCAGCAGGCCCTTGTAGAATGGCAGGAAGAACTCCTCTGCAAAGGTATGATTTACTATAGCTCCAAAATCAAAGTCCTAGTCATATCAAGAGATGAACAAGAGGACATCCAGCTGATCTGTAACGGTGAGGTACTTGAAGTTGTGCAAGAATTCACCTATTTGGAGACAATTATCAGCAACATGGGGAAGATTGACCCAGAATTAGCGAATAGGATATCCAAAGCCAACCGTTTCTATTACCCTATCAGCAACAGTATAATAGGGCACAGGGAAGTTGGCTAGGAAACAAAAAGGCACATATACAAGTCGGTATACCTCTCTACCCTCACATATGGAAGCGAAAGCTGGACAAGCAAGTTAGCCGTGTGACAGCAGCCGAGATGAAGTTTCTGCGGAGAGCTGCTGGAAAGACCAGGAGAGACCTCCTGTCAGAAATCAACGCATAAGAAATGACCTGGAGGTGGCGGAGCTAAAGACATTATTGGAAAACCAACAGTTAAAGTGGTTTGGCCAGGTTTGTCGAATGGAGGAGGTGAGAGATCCGTGAAAGATTCTGGAAGCTCGACTCAGTGGGAGGAGGTTGAGGAGAATTTCCTATCAGTAGTAAAATGCAGCGGATTGGAGAGAAGAGAGGCAAAACCCTCCAGGAAATGAGGCGGCTTAGTAGGGACCGAGAGGCATGGCTGCATTGGATAAAGGCTCATCGACACTAGTAATGGCACAAAGAGGAAGACAAAGAAGAAGAAGATCCATTTCATTGAATATATTGCTATTTCAGTCTTTTAGTTATTACAATTTGATTCAAGAACCAATGAAATTCAGTGTTATGAGATTTCCATCAACAATAGAGCTTCTGCACACGGCATATTCTTTTAACAATATAGAAAAGTATAAAATTCATAGAATGTATTAGGGTTTTGAATGAGTACCTTGAGAAATATCTGATGGGAGCGGTGTACGAAAAACAACCCAGTTCAGCTTTGTATCACTTTCAGTATTGATTTGGTGAGGCCTCAACCATTGAACTACATGACTATCTTTTGCTTCATTTGGATTGTAGTAAAGTGACTTGGTAGCAGGAGGAAAAGAATCATCAATAAATTGTTCGTTATTCTAAACAATACAAAAATAAATAAGAAATAATACTTGATTAATCTCTGAGATGATGTTAAAAAATGAACCTTGGGAGGAAGGGGGGGGGCGATAAAAACAAAATATACAGTAGTTATTAGGAAAAAATACAAAAAATTATGGTAAAACATTCTAAAATGAATTAAATAAATGGTATCTTGTTTAATATTTACATTTTCTAAAAGTCTCTATTCATTTACAATTCAACATATTTTTTGTTTGTAACGTAGACTGCGGGTGTATTGGATCTATATCTTAACCTAAGTTTTATTTATTTTTTTTTAATTTAAATAACGCTAATTACTCTGAAAATTTAAGAAAAGAATATTCCTATATGAAATGATGTTTAAGTGATTCTTAAAAGAAAAAAAATGGTAATTATAGGAACATTAATGCTTTCAAAGATAAATTTTTGATTATTTTTTTACATGTGCTTACAGTTAGTAGCTATATATGCACTATAATTTAAAAAGAGAATAAATTGTAATTATTTAAGTATATAATTAAGATAACATACAAAAACAAATAAAGATTAATGAAAAAATATTTCTTTTCCATTTTGGGGGAGAGAAGAGGAGTGTCAACCCGAAAGCAGCCTTATCGATACCTTTTTCGCAGCCCTGATAAAGGCCAACAAAATTGACCTAAACATAAGCATTAATTAAATAAACAGCTACTGAGTTCCATTTTCATCTAAAAGATTGGAAACTATGGTCAACTACTTCGTATATCATGCATAATTAAAATATGAAATACCCAAATTCTGTGTAGAATTAAGACACTGACAATAGTTAAGTTAACATAATAGAAGAAAAATCATTTCTATTATTTACAATATTTTAATAAAATGGCAAGTTAGCCTTTTAGTTTAATGATTTCCTAATGGATAAAGAAAATAAATACGGTAGTACGTAGAAAAAAAAATTAAGGAAAACGGTATATATTAGGAAATGAAGTGGATATAAATTATGTAAAAGAGAACTAAAAGGATATTAATTGACATGTTTTTGACAATGGGCAATTGGCCAGGAACATTAAAGATTAAATAATAAAAAAAGAGGAAAGCTGTTGTATGTTATTTTCCTAAAACCATTAATATGGTATTTGAAAAAAGTATAATTCTTTTTTACTATTTTGAACAATAATATATAATGACATAAACATAACTTCACTGCCAAAGGAAAACTTTTAATTTTTAATGTGATAAAAAAATTATCTATTGTAAATTAAACTTACAAACTCTAAATGCCTTATAATGTTAAAATATAATTTTAATTATACTTTACTGAGTATATATATATATATATATATATATATATATATATATATATATATATATATATGCATATGTGTGTGTGTATAGATATGCAGTCAATACACACTAATAAAAAAAATACACACAGAGACTAAAAATGTAAATTAAACAGACAATAATCTGAATATAAGAAAAACAATATATAATATGATATTACCTCTAAACAATACTTAATAATTTCATTCCATTCATCAAGAGCCTCTCTTTCCTCTATTTGCCGTAGATCTTCACTAAGTTCACTCTCCTGTTTACTTTTTGAAATAGTTTTGGTGTATTGATTTATAAAATTAATGTGTGTGATTCTGGAGGAGCTACTTCTAGAGCTTTGACACATATCACATAATGACACATTAATAGAATTTTCATAAGTACAGTGAGCACAGTGCCATTTTAATTCAGGTAATGAAACAGGATAGTCTGTGATTTTATAATCTGTGAATAGACTTACAACTTTTGGTTTTATTAAATTTCTATTAGTAGTACTTCCAGCACTATTCCTTCGAACAACTGATTTCTGTTTAGGAATGGCACCACCTACTGCTTGAAATAACTTAGGTTTACTATGTTTATGGGAGGGACTTCGAGGTGAAGTTGTCTTTATTGAAATGTCTGATGCTCTAGATTTGTTCTGGCTCTTACAAACCTGGCAACTTTGTGCTGTCAGTGGGTTTTTTAATGTGCATTGAAGACAAGTCCAAAATTCCCCTTTTCTTAAAGTTAGATCAGGATTTACTGAGATGCTTTTTAATTTTGAACCCCCGCAGGCTATGCACGCAACATCAGAAGCTAAATTAACAAGAGTACATTTCCTACAAGACCATTCAGAATCAATGCTTGTAGACAACCCCTTTAAATCATCCATATTAATAGAAGAATCATTATTACCCTCATTTCTTGGAGAAACAAAATTTGAACAATCTTTTGTTACAGTTGTAAGGCTTGGTTTAGTAAGAGATGGAGGAGTACGTGCAGAGTAGCATATATCACAGGTATCACACCATAATGGGTTGTAAGCATAAGAGCATTTGATACAAGTCCACATTCGTTCCAATGAAGACTGAATACGTGAAATTTCACAAAGATTTTTAATATTTGATGTACTACTAAGATTAAGAGAAACAGGTTGTATAGACTCTTGATTTGTCATAAAAGATATGTCTTTGGTTTTAGGTTCTGAAATACCAATGTAGGAGTATGATGTGAAAGGATTTCGGTTAGCAGAGAGCTGTAGGTTAAGATTATTAAATGAACTTCTGATAACAGTTGATTCACTCATCTTTACTTTGTTCGCATCAGATTCGTGATTGCTCCACTCATTTCCAATTAGTTCTGATTGACATCGTTTGTACAAAGTTTTCTGCCATAAATCAGTATGAGAACTGACATTTCCTCCTTTTTTCTTTTGAATATCTAACTGATTTTCCCATTTAGGTACAGCAATGACCATATTAGTATTTGATGCATCAGCACCTGAAATTGGAATGTAACTTTTTTTGGGAGTTTCACAAATATCACACCTTTCGGAATCAACTGAATTATCTAAAGTGCAACGCTGACAGGACCACGTTTCACTGTCATTCCTAGAAACACTATTAAAATTTTTATTTTTATCAGTAATATTGAAGTCAATACTTCCTTTATCAACTAACAGACTGCTAGGTCTTCTGGGTTCAGTATATTTTTTATGAATCGTTGATCCGTTAGACAATGATCTGCTCACTTTGTATTTTACCCTTTCATAAACTGAGAGACTGTGGCGTTTTGGAGATTTATTAACAGAGCAATCTTGACAATTATTGTCTAGTAATGTATTTAGATTAGTTTGTTTGTCTTGCATCTCATCATCATTGACAAATATCTGAGGCATGGCCATTTTCATGTATCCGCAAATGCAACAGACAAATGAAGATGTATTTCTATATAAACACAACTTACAAACCCAATCATTGATTAAATATGGTAAACTAAAAGATCTTTGCTGATGAAGTTTTACATTTCTATTTTTTTGACTCTCGGTTTCAATTATTGAGCATTCATCATTGTTTGTAGATATTCTGAAATTAAAAAAAAAAAAAATGTAAATATATTTGTATATGTATATAGATATATGTATAAGTATATAGATATATGTATATGTATATGTGTGTATATATGTGTGTATATATATATATATATATATATATATACATACATACATACATATATATGTATGTGTGTGTCTGTGTGTATGTATGTAAATAGTTGCATCCAGTGATAAAACTTGGTCAAGGAAACAGGGATGATTAATTTTGGTACCCCTTATTTCATTGTCTTCCTATAAAGCCATACATAATTTTATAATAGTATTTTAAGTAAAATTTTTTGAAATGAATATTATTATCTCATAACATTAACTTTATTTCATAGAGTGAATTCAGTTTAAAAAAATTAAATTTTGCTTCAAATTCGCTTCCCTCTAAATTCTAAACTCTGAATAATGCCTCAGGAAAAGTTACCCCTTTTCTTTCATCTAGTTCTGACCCTAGGTGCAAATGGGATCTGTTCATATCAGAGGTACCCAGAAGGGGATTGCATGGTGCTAGTTGCATTATCAGAATTTTTGAGGGGTCACATTTTTATGAAGATATGGATTTTCAAATTGAACTTTCAAAAAAAGGAACAAAGAAAAAAATTAAAGTACAATTTTTATAATTTAATTTAATTAATAGTTTTTAAGAAGAGAAAAGCACTCAATTTTCTTGGAAGGAGGGCATGCAATATCACCCTCGTGGAAAGAAACCGGATGACTTTGTATTGAAATGAAGCAATATAACTTTTATTTTAAAAGCTAATATTTTCTGGGAATAACAGTTGCACAGATTAAAAATACATTTAAAACTAAGTTCAGAAAATTGTGGATAAAGCATAAATATACTATTTTTTACCATAAATAAATATTACATATGCAGAAGATTTATAATGAAAGAGAATGAGGAACAAATAATCTTTAAGAAAATTGTAGAGATTTGGAAAATTGAAATGAGTAAAGGACAACCAATAATAAACGATTTGTTAATGGAAGTAAACATAGGAGAAGGGTATAAACAAATATGATTCTGAATTTAAGGAGTGGCAGAAAAACATGCAGTAAAATAAAGAACACAGGGAGATTTGGCATTCATTGATTAAAGTATTTATAAACAAACAACTTTCAGAAAACCCTTATGGACAGAGCTTAATGTAGATGGTTATGATGAATGAGGAGCATGCTATTTCCCTCTACATAACTTCAGCCAGCTACCTTGTTAAATAACCACCATCTTGAATTTTTTTAAAAACATTTATTTGTTTAAAATTAAATCAATTGCAAGCGCACTCATAATGCAGATACACATACACACACCATGTTAGAAATATTCAATGACAGTAATCTAAGTTAGACATTCCTAACAATAAATCTTATATATTAATTAGTTTTTTATGATAAAATAGATATAGAAATATTGTATAAATAATTTCATTAAAACGGTATAATTAACTTTTTTTATTTATGAATAAAAAGTGTATTTTTGTAATTATGTTTTTTATAATACATCCCAAGACATGTAAAAAAAAAAAAAAAAAAAAATTAAACCTTTATAATAATATATTGTAGTCATTTTTTTCTGAAATCAGAGGTACTTTAAGGGTGACAGAATATCAAATCACATCATTTTTTTTAGTTAACTAGAGGGGAATTCGAACATATTCAGTAATAACCCTCAACTTAATTGATATAGACTTAAAGCTTGTTAAACAAGGAAGTTTTTCTAAATGTAGCATATCTGTAGTCTAGTTGGAAAGTGATTAAAAAAATGGCAAAAAATCTATGATTTTAAGAAACACAGAATGTAGCTTAGTTGAGCCTCTTATAAGTCCTCTTAAAATGGTTTTAACAAAAATAAACTCTGCTTGAAATTTGTCTGGTTTACTATGAAGTAATTATTAATTATCAAATTAGCTATATTTTTGAGTTATTGTTAGCTAATCAACAAAAAAGTGACTTGTTTAAAAAACACAATCTTAAATTTTCTACTTTTCTGTGGAAAGTCAGACCATGGTTTATATGAAAGTTTGTAGCTCTTAAGGTCTATTATCACCGCTTTAAATATTTCCCTTAACTTGTGGGACACCAGTACAATGGTAATAATAATACATTTATTATTTGTTTTTTCCATGAAAGATTTTGATTGAAGGTTATTTCAATGTTTTTAATAGTAGGATAGAATTTTATGGGATTATTATTCAGGAACAGGGTTAAGGTATTAGAAATAGTATCAAGGAGGGAATTGGAGCCTTTTACAATTTTCATTGTCTTCTCTGCACTTAACTTCAACGTGTTATTAATATTAATATTAGGCAGTTTTGTAAGAAGAAACAACACTCAATCATGACAACAAACTATAAGAATTCTTTCTTATATTTAATATTTTACTGAAGATATCTCTCAACGATTTCAAATGCATATTTCTGATAGAAGGCCCTATAAGTACTGGTGCAAGCTATTCAACGTAGCCTTTTAAAAAAACATACTTAAGAGGATAGGGTAGATTAGGGGTTATAGGGTGATAAATTGCGAGATTATTACACCCGTCATACTTATGAAGGATTCATAAGATGTATAAGATTCTCAGTTATACAGATACTATATCAGTTCTTCAAAGTGAACAAGAAGATGGAGAAACTTGCTGGGACTCTGATAAGAGAAGTGAAGCAAACAGACATACCAATGAACTAAGATAAAACCAAGTAATGTGAGAAACACATCCCAAAAAGACGGAGGCTTTTGGAAGAGGTCCAACTTTCATGATGGGACATTAAATCATATATATGCTAGACAAAAACTAAAGATCTACTATCATATGCAGAAAATGTCAAATAATATCTAAAGAGATGAAGAAAAATACTGAAATGTCTAGTATTTAAAGCTAATAGAAAAAAATAATAAATAAAACTTTCCAATAAATCTCATATGTTTAATTTTTTGTATTGGCTAAATTTACAACAGGGACCAGACTTGCTCCTTCAAATAGGGTTGGCCTACAGAAATGCAAACCATATATTTAAAAAAAAAAAATTAAATATGAATTTGCACCAGTCAAAGGTTTGTTGACAATCAGAAAATGGGAAATAATGACATCTCATGCATGAGAATCAAACCTAAGTATTTTTTTAAAATTCTATTTGTGATTCTTTGTAATACTTCTACTTACTGTATTTATATTATAGTCATTAATTCATTTTCAGTTGATAGGGGGTACTAATGTTATGAAGAATAAAAAAGTTTGGATCAAAGTGATCAAATTAAGAATGTTGTGTGTCAGCAAGTGAAACATTTTTTGACTGCAGAAAGGAGGTAAAATGAAGATATTAGGAAAGTGAAAAAATGAGGAGGAATGTGGCTAATGATGGGAGACCAAAAGAACCCTCTAAAGCTATATAAAAGAGGTTTAGTTATTTAGCAGTGATTGAAATGGGCACTTAAGTTTTTTGAGCAATAATGATACTGTTGCTACAATGTTTTATGTTTATCCTAAAATAGAGAACTTTAAGTGGAGTTAAAAAATAAATCAAGTTTTCCCTCAAATTGGAGGAGTAAACAGTCTTTCCTTGTTGGATTAAAAAAAAATCCTTTTCAGTGGGCTTAGTATTTATTTTCTCATTTTATTTCAATATAATGTATAATAATATTACCTTATTTTCTTATTCAATAAATTCAGTGCTACTTCGTTCAGTCACTTTATTAGTTTAATTTTTTTAAATAAATAAGGTAAGAATATAAATAATAAGAAGATAAAATAAGGTACATAATTAACCCAATTGAGCAAGTGTGATCCTCAGTAATTATATTTTTAAAAATCTTTAAATTCCCCTCATGATTTTATTAGATTTATTCAAATAAACAACAATTACAATAGCACATATTATAATACATCAGCATGAAAACAAGAAAAATTAAACAAATTTATAGAATACATATCTGTCCAAGTCTGTTTACAAAATATCAAGTAGTAGGAAAATTTTCAACAACCTATATAATAAAAAAGGGAAAAATACATATTTTTTAATAAAAAATATTCCTAAAATATAGGTAATTAAAACCTTTCTGAATTATAGTTACCTTATTAAATACAAATGAAATATCCACTAATTATCCTATAATGAAAAACAAGGCCAATATATATTTTAAAATCTATTTAATTTATGGACAAAATATATAATAATAAATTGAACTAAAAAACTCATAACAATGAAAAATATATCCTCTTTTCTAAGATAATGATTTGACTGTGCATTCATAATCATAAACAAAGGAAAAATAATTATCCCCACATATATTATTACAGTAAGGCTCGAAATCGGTTTTGTACCAAATATAAGCTCCTGTCATGCTCAAATACCATGAATGGGGTACCGTTGGATTCAGGATTTCACGGGGGGTTAGCGAATCGTATTCTCCACTTTTGTTTTTCTTTCTAAAATAAATAAAGTCGATACAAACATTTTGCTAGGCTTCAATACTGGAACGGTGGTAGGTCTGTAGATCGATACGGAACAAATTGGATCTTGAAGATTTTGATGCGTACAGCAAGACTCAGATAGTTCCTCCGGAACTATCGGATCCTGCATTTTTAAGCCCAAAAACGTACTATTTTCGAGATAACGCAAGGCATAGGGTTCGCATCCACACAGCCTTACATTAATTGTGGTACTGTCATTGAATACATGTCTCATTTCGTCGACTTGAGGTCTCTATGATTGAGAGAGGAGGAGTTTATATTATTTATCGATGGTGTTTTTGATCGGCAAGCCATATCATCGTTAATTTTTCACCAAATCTCAAGATTGAGCCACCAATTTCGAAGGTTTCCTTCTCCTTCAGGCGGGCAAAATAGTCCAATCACCCCGAAAATTCAGGCAAACAAGTTATGAAAGAAAACAAACTTTATTTGCGAATAACTAAAAAATTACACACTTTTCCCTTGGTTATGCCCATGATTATATAAAAGATTACTAAATTCCCTACAAAAGGAAA